GATCGTCGTCTGCTCCTCGCGAGGGGGGAGCAAGTGGCGTCAGGCTCTGCGTTCGGGCGCCGAACGCCGCCGGCGTCCTCGACTAGTCCGGCAAACGGCTGTCTCACCTTCCCTACGACTTTTGAAAACCCAACGAGGACTTAGCCTTCGAGAGTAAGGACAGTAAATATATTTTAAAAAAAAAGTAGATTATTTTTTTTTGTTTTTTTTTTTTTTTTTGACGATGAACAAGGATTAGACGCGATCCAACGAACGAGGAGATCACGGCCCGGATGTTGTCTGCTTCCCACCGCCGAAGAGCAAGCGACAGCTGCGGCGGCGGAGCTTCGTCGCGTTAATAGCACGAGTGATCACTCCGTCTCCTTTGCGCGCAGAGACGTGTTTCGGTGGGCCTGCTCTCCGTATAGTAGCCCCATCTCCCTGACGCTGAATACTGGTGACCTCAGTCAGGGGTTTTACCTATAAAACCACTTCAGAGGTGTTACCATCTGACCATCCAATTATTGACCATTTAACCATTGCCAAGAACGCCCACAGCATCATTGTTTTCTTAATTAATAGGCTCACATTTGGCTAAAAAAAAAAAAAGTTTGGAAATGTTCAGATAAACAAAGGACGGTCACTTTTTGGTTTTGGTTTTCATGTGCGCTTCTTGTTCCTTCTTGGCTCGGTGTTAATTCTTTTGAGACACAAATTCTCGCTCATACCCTTGATATGTGCGCGTGCGATTGAACAGGTCGCCATTGCATTTTGCCGCGGGGGAACATTGCGATTGAGAGAGAGAAAATAACTGTAAAATTCGGACTACGAGATCGTAGTAGTGCGAATCGAAACACTCCCAAATTGAGAATCCTTTTCGAACGAAAAGTTGGGTGGAAGCGGGGCGGTGCTCGCTGTTCCGGTTCCCTTGAGGTGTCCTCGGGCCCTCAATCGATACCTCGCGGAGATTCAGACGAAGAGACGAGACATGAAAAAAGAAAAGAAAACACAAAAAGCTTCAGTCTGACCGCAATATACGTACGGTGCCTCCCCTAAAATACATTGCTTCCCCTCCCCCGAGCGTCTGGCTACCCTGAAGCCGGCCTTTCCCGTCCGGGAATCTTTCGTGTGTATCCTTGAGTCTGCTCTGTGCTTCGTCTGCTTTTTCTCATCTACCTCGCCCACGCTTTCCCCTTCCTCTTCCTCTCTTTTTTTTTTTTTTTTTTCGGCTTCGTATTTTTTTTTTTTTTATTATTATTATTACTCTACTTTTTCTTTTCTATTTCTCAGATATTTTTCTTTTTATCAGTTCGACAGCCGTCGATAACTCGATCTCTCGATCTCCCCCTCCAATCTTGATCTTCCCAAGGCAACTGAATCCCCTTGTTTGATTTATTTTATTTTATTTTGTCATTATGTTTTTTTGCTTCGTGGACCGCGTCTGGATTGCTAACTCTGGACTTCTTTCGTAACGATGTCTCTAAAGACAGCGATCATTGGGAGGAGTTATCGCTTTTAGCTGAATTTGGTTCGAGTTGAAGTGCGAATGTGCGGTTGGTGTGCTCTAGTTTTCTTCCTTGCTTTTAGAGAATCATTAGCCATCGACGACAGCGCGCCTCCATCCGGTTTTGTGCTGTAGACGGCAAAAGAGGGGGGGAAATCCGATTCGTTTTGTGTGTTCTCTTAGCAAGGAGAAAGGGATTAGATTTTTTGCTGTGAACGCCAAAATATGAGAGCTGTGACGATACCCCTCCGGGGAAGCGTTTGTTTGTAGAGCTTCTTGCGTTTTTCAAAAAAACGGCGCAAGTCGACACTGTTCTACTCGAATGATGTGTCGCTCATGTGCACTGTAATGCCGGTCCTTAACGTGAATGTGTGAACACGTGAAGGTATAGCTTATTGTGAACTACTCTACCGTACCTCCGTATCATTCTCAGATTTTCAGATTGTAGGCGAGTCGGGAGCTCAAAACCATCTTGACAAAAACCTAAAAAAAATTACACGGCCTCGTGTTTTGTTCGTTTTTTTTTTTTTGCGTGTATGATATGTTATTTGTTAGTATCGAAGTTGACAGACAGTTTTGAGTTTCAGGGTATCAAAATATTGAAAGTGTTCTTAATAAAGTACCTTGAAGTGTCATATTCGAATAATATATGCCACGATGCTCGCAAAAAATATTCGTTCGCGGTCTGTCGTTCCTTAGCACTGACACAATGATGGTAGTCACTTTTCCAAACATCGTGGCGAAACAGCTACCATGTGTACTTCTAAGCGGCCTTCTTACCTGTTCGCCTTTTTACCTGTTCCGGCGAACGGTCGCTCCCGAAACTCGCGCTTTTATCCGTTGCACGGCCAACCCGCGGCAGACGGGCGGCTTCTCCGCGAGCATTCAAGCGCTGTGGAGAAATAAACTCGCGAAAAGCCGGTAAAAAAAAAAATAAAGTATTTGCTTCATTTTGTTATTTTAGCGAGCACACAAGCGGTGAGGCTTGACTTATTTACTTTTTATACGCGTTAAATGTTTTTGGCCTTGTTAAGCTTCTTTTTTTTTGTGTTTAAGTTTTTGACGTTTGAAGATCGTAATGCATGTTACAGCATCCGTGGCTAGCGACAGAGTGAAAATGTTCACGAACAATTATTTTATCTCTACCAGCAAGGCATTAACAGGATAGGATAACGGTCACTTTTATTAGGTCTTTAAAATGAATGATTTTAAACCACGAAACTTTTTTTTATTTGTATTGTTTGCCTTAAGGCATTGTGAACGGCTTCTTCGAACGTTTCCTTCATAGTTTAGGGGCGCTCCTCGAGCCAGTGACTAACATAATTATCTTAAAATACTATGCCTAAATATTAGCCTCTGTGGGTTACTTTTTGTTCCAACAGCGAATAGCAGCATGGGAAATTGTTTGTATCCTAAGTAAATCAAACACTGCTGAACGTTGTTGTTAAGTGCTGTCGCTTGACCGAGCGCGGTTCTTCGCTTTTTGTGGGGGCGTATAACACGTTCTTGCTTTTCCGAAATTCGTTACTGCTACTAATCAGATGTTTATCTTTTGTGGAGTCACGCCTTCATTGAGGCTCGGTTAAACCCGTAATTGTATATGAGGCTCCATATTGTTCCCTTTTAAGCCGGGGCCACTCCGCTTATACATCATACAAAAAGAGAGTCTGCATCAGGGTGTAAGATAGACAGGTGGGGAAACGAGAGCCAAATGAGCGATCTGGTTGTGTCCCCCTCGGTCTTCTCTTTTTCTGTGGCGCCATCTATGTGGAGCACCGCGAACTCTCACTCCGGGTGGGCCATCGGTGGCGACCGGCTAAACTCACGGAGATGATTTCTCGTGGATTTTCAATAGAGAACTGTCGTGCTCTCGGTTTATTTTGCGCACTCTCCCATAAATTTTCAAGCAAATCCGATTCCGATTTTTTTTCCTTTCGCCGCAGCGCCATCTGTCGCGAATCGGGAGTACCCGCAAGCAGACGAGTACACAATCCGGTCACGGCGCTGCGGTAGGCTTCTATGGGCCGTTTCCCCACCTGTCTATCTTACACCCTGGTCTGCATACAGATTCGAACGCGAATCACCGCGAGATCCGTGCTTCGAATGCCGCTTGGCGACAATGAGTTCAATTGAGATTGCAGTGACTCGTGTTTGCAGACTGTCTTTTGTATGATGTATGAGCAGTGTGACACCCCGGCTTTAGGGTGTACATTTCTACCTTGCCACGATGACTCTGACGAAACGAATGTAAATAGACGTTATACTATTGCGACTGTTTTCGACCTTCTGCAATAGATGGTTGACGTCAACGCCTAACGTGTCACCGCGTCAAGCACGCTATAGAGACTGGCCATTTTTGCCTCCGGGCTGCTCTTTTGGGGGACTTAGTATTTGTTTTAGAAAACCCTAGCCCTGTAAAAACAATTGTATGATAAAGAAGTGCAAATAATTTATGACAACCATGTCAAGTTCAGTCGCAACTACTTTTATTTTTATGTCGCTCGGTTATGTATCACCGAGAGTGATTTAAAGATTGTACTTACATTGTCACTATTACTCTTCGGATTATAATTTTACTAAATCGCATGATTCTGACGACTAATCGTCCTGTATGCCTCAACTTTCGCTTCTAATGGCGTTTTTGTGTGTGTGTGTGTGTTTTACCCGTCTCTATATACGACCACACGAATCGGTTGGAAAGAAATTTTGTAGTCGTAATCGTTGCGGATCGAAATATTCAGGTGACCCACTAGAGTATAGCGAGTATTGACAACCTCGTTATCTCGAAACGCAATCCAATTAAGCGTTCCTTTAGTCCAGGGGCGATATAATCGTGCAATTACATCTGATTACTGACTCCCAAATTGGGTGATGATGCAATTATATCCGATTCCTTGTGCCGGCTACCTCGCCCATCTGTAAACTGAAACGGACGAACACCTAAGCTGGCAGTGCGGTGGACGCTACGTGCCCGTTGAGCTGCAGTCGTAGTACGTCTGTCTTCCGTCACTTGATCGCTCTCCCGCCTACACCTACACGCTCAGAGAGCAGGGTTAGCCGATACGGGGGAGGCGGTTCATTGGTCGGGCGAGCTCGTGTATCTCCCCGTAGCACTGTCAGGTTTGATGGGAAAGAGGTATAACGCAGGGCAGTCGTTCCATTCGGTCCTCCGGCAACTTTGCTATCGCAAAATGTTTGGAACGAAAATTTGTAGCCCATATCCCGTACTCGGGTGGGCGGTGATTGCGCAGCACACGCTTGCGAAAGGTCACTGGACGCACTCGGGGCCGTTTTTCACGTCGGCTGCTGCTGCCCACCCCGTCGTATCTGTAGGCGGAGAGTGAGCTTCGCCGCGGTACTTGGCAGCATTGTGGTGGTGCCGCCCCCGCGTCCGCTGGGAGCTGCTGCCAGGATGTTTACCGCAGTTTTCCCTCTTCTCGCGTTGCGCTTGATTCGCTTAGCGCGTCGTTCAATTGCGGGAAGTTTGATTCGTTGCTTTTCTTTCTTTTTATTGTAGCTGGAAGCCGGCGACGTCATCGTCGAGGTCAACGACACACGCGTGGTCAGCTTTACAACGAAAGAGGGTGAGTGCAGCCTGTCATTTGTTGTTCTTTGTTTTTGCCACCACGCGAACTTTAACTACTCGAAATAACACACGGACTTTACGGTTTGGTTCTGAAGGTCCAAACTTACGCTCAAAATAACCCTGCAACGTCTCTTCATTTTTAAACGTTTACCCCGAAACGAAAACAAAAAAACAAAAAAAAAAAGTAATCCTAATGGTGCTTTTTTTTTTGTAGATTATAGTTTTTTTTTTCTTTTTTAATCATTGGGTGAGCTTAAAATAATAGACTAACTCCAGGGTTCCGTTCCGAAGATCCAGATAGACACTTTAACGAGTCCTCCAACGTTCCTATTTTTGAACTCATCGCCCTAAGTAAAATTTTAAAAATAATAACCGGTCTGGGTGCAGTTTAACTTCTGTTGTTATAATGTTTCCTTTTTTTTTTTTGCCAAACGACAATTTTAATTTAAATAGTGACTTCAGTCTTCGATTCTGAAAATATAAATTTACGCTTATACTAATCCTACAACGTCGCTTCATTTTTAAACTCTTCCTTGCTAATGAAAGAAATCGGTCTTGTGTAAATGATGAACAAGGCATCCCTTTAAAAATATGATCAAGTTGCCGAAAATAATTATCCTCCAGAGTCTTAGCAGGAGATGTGTGTCAGTTCTAATGAAAGACGAAAGCCGTGTCGAATAAGAACGGGACGAAAGCCGCGTAGAAGACCGCCTCTCCGTCTTTTGTTGAAACGATTTTCTTGGCGTTGTGGCGCGGTCTGGAAGAGAAAGGGAACAACCAGGGTCAAGAGGACGCTCGAATAAAAGCATTACAACTGAAGGGGCCGCTAGCTGAAATAACCTTGTGTCCGAGGCACCGAGCTTCCCGAGCAAACGGAATGAATTTCTTTAGGGGTCAGCTTCGGATTTTCGCCCAGACGTTGCTTGACCTTGGTTGTTGAGAGAGAGAGAGAGCGTGGTGACAATATCCCCCGAGGGTAATTCAGTGAGGAGAGCCCTGATCATTATGATCTTTTAGCATCCCCTAAACCCGTTCTGCACTTTCCCCGTGTGATGTCGTCACCGCAAGAGATTCGGGGGCAGTGACGGGTTCATGGTGTGTCGACTGGTAGCGAAGTGTTTCCTGCAGGTATCTCGTACGTGTCCCCAGCAGGTTCGTGCCTTTGTACTTAGTGGGACTCGCTCGATTCGCGTGACGAGCTTCCGTATATCCACGTTGGGAACCACTCATTGGGGAGGGAGTACATATGCAACGGCCGTAGGCTCTGAAAGCATGAGAACGGCTAGGAGCACGACGGACGAGAGACGTCTTGCCCTTCCCACCCTGTCGGTGGTTCAACCGGAATAGCCACAAAAAACCACATGTTTTTGACGTCTATTAGCGCCGAGATGTTTTGGTGGCGCCCTCTTATGGTTTCCCTCCGTGACGTCACGACTGGGATTTGCCTCGCCGTGACGTCACCAGTTGTTATTCTGGCTACTTACCATCGGGTGCGACGACGAGTTCGATGGTGTGTTTAAAAAGCACAGTAGAAGGTAGGAGCCATCGCAATCCGAAACTAACACCGTCAAAGTTGATAATCTGTCAGTGCTTATATGCCCACGGTTTAGCCAATCGTGGAAAGCTGACCACAGCGACGCTTTTGGCCGCGCACATCGCTAATGGCACCCTTTGGAAGGCGCGTGAGCGTTCTGACTGGTTTGGGGTCACGCTTTGTACGCTTCGCTTTTATAACTTCGTAAGCGAAAGTCGCTTATTTTCTGAAGAATAAGGATTCAATAAATAAAAGCGCGTTTTTTTTTATTTGTTTTATTATTTGCATTTTTGTTTTATTGGGACAAACGTGGAGGAAATCGCGGCTGAGTGGATACAAGGCTGAAAGCCTTCGATAGTTTGATTCTTAAAGAAATAAAATGCCGAGTTCTCAGTTTAAAAATTTTATTCTGGAGCGCATTACAGCATTGTCTCTCTTTCTTCGCCTCTTTATGTCTGATCAAATCATTTTCAAACTGTCCTACGTTGATTTTACCCGAAAATACTGGCACTTTTTGTCGCCGTTGTGCCACAAAATACCCGCAATAGCGCTCCTGCGCTTAAAGTAAACGTTTGCACATTTTTGCGTACCTGAAAAGATTGTCTTCGGAATTCTTCAACATTTGTTGCGCACTTCCATTTAAAAGTGCGTGAGAGCCAGATGTCCTGAGCACTTACACACGAGTTTTCCAACCGTCTCTTCCGTGTGTCGCCAGCGATCGAGACGAAAGTGTTTGTCCGTTCCTCTATTTCTCTCCCCGGCTGTGCCGGCTACGTGGAAAAAAGCGTTCGTGTTTTCCGCTGTCAGCGAAAGGAGTCTTAGTTACCGCGCGTTTTGAAGTGTCGTATCGACGAAGAAACGGTAGAACGCGTTTTTCTCGTAGCTTGATCGAGGGGGCGAATGAGTTTTCGATCGTTCGATCTACTCGCGCGCACCGGGGGTGACCCGGGTGCCCGGCTGCTTCGATTAGGCCCGGCACGTGCATTGTTCGCGTGTCTGTGGCACCTCTGCTCTCCATCTTGCGGTTTCGGACTTTGGGAGCCTCGCGATCGTTCAATGGTCCTTTCGCGGAATTCCAGACATGCTCCCCCGACCCGGAGCACGTCGGGTGGTCTGTGCAGTTTTCAGAAAACACACACACGCAGATACCTTTTCTTGGTGTACACGCGTTCAGCTCTATTTTATTGTCGGCATGTTTATCCCAGGTTCACCGAGTTTGCATTTGAATTTAGAAATACGTACGTAGGTGACACATGTCACCCACAACTGCGATGGAGTTGGAGAGCTGCTTTCGCGGGATTGCGAACGCGACAAACACATCTCTTCCCATGGGTGGATACGGCGGAACCTAGTGTGTGCCTAGATTTGAGAGTGTTTTCAACCACCCGATTGAGGTCACATGGCTTATGGGCCGCGTTTTCAATGCAAGGTGCGAGGAAGAGGAGGAGGAGAGAGCGTCGACCGTCTGCTAGCGTCTCTGCAGCGTTTGCTCGGTCTTTCCTCCCAATATACCTTCCTCGCCACTCGTAAATGCACGCATGCGCATGTACAACCAGTCAATCTGCACAGGAGGCATCCACCACTTGAAATTTCAAACTGTATTCCTAAACTAAGTTGTTCCCTATCATAGATTTGAGGCTCTCTAGCTGAACCCTATTGATCGGGCGGCGACTCGCGGCACCTAGCCAACCCTCTTGATTCTAACGGTTAAGGGATTCTTTATGTACGAAAAAGATAAGGTTAATTCTTTCATAGTCACTGACAAGGTGCGAACGGCAGGGAGGAGCTTGAGTTGTCCCGAATTCAGCGCGAGTTTCGTACCTTCGGGGGCGCTTCGGCTTTTCGTGCACCTCGAGCGCTCAGCCAAAGCACGGCGGAAGGCATGCGGCGCGTGCTGGGGGCCGGGCCTTCGAAATGCACTCCCTGCCCTTCTCGTTCTGTCAGTTACGATAGTAGTATAATTCTAAAAATTTCAATCCACTCGTGAGAACGCTGCGTAAGTGGTTCGTGGCGACAGCGTTGCACGGTGTGAAGAAGCAGAAAAGCTTACTTCGCGCATACGCGAAGCAAGCATATACCGCTCGAGTTATTATTATTCTTATTATTATTATTATTTACATAGCTGGTTCTGCCACACAAGCCCATGATAGCTTTGGCGAACCTGCACTGTGCCTTGGTTATACTCTTCCTTCACAAATAAATTTATCATTATTATTAGTATTATTTCGTCTTTCTTTTTCTTTCCTTCTTTCCTTTTCTTTCTTCTATAGATATTCTGTCGATGGGATAAAAAACGTACTTACCACGTAGTAACATCTAGTTTATTATCGGATTAGGTTACATCGTTGAGTTGGAATCTCATGGCGGGGGCATAGAACAAGAGAAGAAAAACAAAGAAGAATGGCACCGCGTGCGCGGGAAGTCCACCGGAAGACGCTGGCCTCCTGGTGGTCAAATACACATATGCAGCACTCTCCCACACTAGCTATAGGTACATCCGGTCTGGTGCCTTGCGTGTTCGAACAGAGCGTCGTGGTGGGGTAGGTCGAATTGCAGGTCGGCTGTCCGGTATACTGTCGAAAAGGCTGGGGTTCGGTGGCCAATCCACAGATGTCTCTGGAACGGTTGAGTTATGGTGTCGAGGGCGCAACTGGTCGATGTGGCGCCTCATTGAGCCGTGGTGGGTCTCCACTATAGCCATGTGGTTTCCCAAAACCTTCGACATGACTCCCGGCACCCAACGCTCACCAACTCCATAGTTCTTTGCGAACACAGAATTCCATTCTTTGAGGTTGCCAAGTCGTTCTGTGTCGTCCTCTGTCTCGCTGGTCGTCATGGTAGCGAGGACCATGCGAACTTTTGGGCGGAAGCTAAGCATCAGTTCTGCTAGAGATTGGCTTCGTGTGGCCGATGGTGTGCGACGTTGCACCAGCAGCCATCTTGCCAAACGCGTCGCGAGGGAACCTTCCGAGAGTTTCTTTAAGCCATCCTTGACCGTTCTTACCCTTCGCTCTGCAAGTCCATTCAACTGTGGATGGTAAGGTGCAGTCCTTAAATGGCGTATACCGTTCAGGGATATGAACTCGTCAAACTGTGATCCGCTGAATAGTGTTCTATTGTCGGAGGCTAAGTAAACAGGCAGTCCAAAACTGGCAAAAAGACTTCTCAGGTGATCAGCTGTTGCTGCTGAAGTTTCTGCTAATGTCGGTAGTGCTTCAATCTAGCCAGAGTAGCTGTCGACCACGATGAGCACCATGGTACCATCTATAGGTTCTGCGTAATTAACATGAATTCTTGCCCAAGGTGTAGTGGTTGCTGGCCAGGCTCGTTCTACTGCTGGTGGCATCGGTGCGACCTGTTGACATACTGTGGAGGCTTGCTGCGTATCTTCGATTGCATGATGAATACGTGGCCACCAGAGTATTGACCGTGCGAGTGCTTTTGTTGCGTTAATACCCATGTGTGTGTCATGGAGCTCCTGTAGAATAGCGTCTCGTGCTTTCTCAGAGATCGGCATTCTCTCCCCCCTACGGATGAGAAGACCGTCCAAGGAGAAAGTGTCTTTTTGCGGCCAGAACGGCTGAAGAACTAGATCTTGAAGTTTCCTGAGAAAGCTTGCTTGCCCGGCTTGTACCGAATCTTGTAACTGTACGCCCCGGGCGTGAGTGCCCAGTGCTGGATTCTGGCAGCTGCGGTGGTTGTGTTGCCTTGGTTTTTTTTTTTTAAGAGCCCTACCAGGTGTCCATGATCCGTTTTGAGCGTGAAAGTTCATGCAAGCAAGTAGTCGCGAAACTTTGTTACTCCAAAAATTAGAACCAGGGCCTCCTTCTCAAGTTGTGAGTAGTTTTTCTCGGCGCTGGTGAGTGTCCTGAATCTGAAATCGATGGGTTTGTTGACCCCATTGATGTTGTGCGACAACACCGCTCCAACCCTTTCCGGAGATGCGTCACATTCTAGGATCAGTTCCCGAGTGGTGTCGTAGTGCATTAGGAGACTTGACCGCTGAACTGTCTGATTTGCTTTGTTAAAGGCTGACTCTTCTCGGTTTCCCACCTCCACCTCGCGTTTTGCCGGAGCCGCGTGCGCGGGACCACCGGAAGAGGCTGGCCTCCTGGTGGTCAAATACGCATATACAGCAATATATATGTCCTTGGAACGCTAACGTTGCGGATTGCAGATAGGATTCAGCTGCGATGCTACGATGGTGACAGCGGTGTGAATATGGTTTTCCCGGATTGAAACGTGGACCCTCTTAATGGTTAAAGGTTAGAGTGGTGGCGAAAAATAAACCGAGAACAAGCCGATCGCACCAGGAGAATATATATCGCGACCGCAACGTTTTTCACGAAAATCTTGAGGCATACGCGCCGCGCAAACCACAAAATGATTTTTTTTTTCGTTGCCGATTTTTTGTTGATTGCTTGTGGCGTTTCCTTTCGTTCAGCGCTGTAAAATACGCATCGAAATTTTCGTTTAAAAAATGCGACGAGGGAAGGGAAACAGAACTGCATTTTAATTACAAGGCGATCTTTTTTTTTTTTTTTTTAACTTACAAGAGGTTAAGTAAAGAGACACGAATGATAGAATTTTTTTTTCAGTATGCATAACATTTTGATACATACCGTAGCTACTTCTTCACACAATCACCGCACAAATTTAGGCAATAATCATAGCGTGGTGCGAGCATATCATTGGATGCCCTCCTCGAAGAAGTTTACCTCCTGGGTTCATCTGAGTCGTTCAATCGCGCGTTCATCGGGACCGTGGGTCGTCACAAACGTTCTTCCCTGAACCCCCATTATCACAGGCGTACGGTCGTCCTTCCCCCATACAGTTTCCTTCGTACGCATCATACGTCTGTCTTTTGATTGAAAATCCGGCGGCAGCCTCCTTTGAGGAAGGCGTCCAAAAGTTTGTACCACTTCATAGGTGCTCAATCTGCCGGGTGGTTGCATGGAAGAGTAGCTGCGGTATGTATTTATAAATGGTGTGTATATTAAAATATTTTCCGGCAATATTGCTTTTCTTTACCCAGTTAATACGGCCCTCGGTTCAAACTCGGCAGCACGATACTACTTCTGTCCCTGTCGCGACTACTTCGACCGGAAATCGACGCAATTGCTCCGAGGTTTGTTTGTGTCCAATGACGGCGGATATTTACGGTGGAAATTGGAAGGCGTCCTCTGGGTCTCTTGAGAAGATTGCGTTGCGAAGAGCCGTTCATTTCCCCGACCAAACGCGTCGTGCACGCGTGGCAATGTGGCGTGTGTACCGAGAATAAAACTATGCGTTTTTGTTTCTTTTTGCCATTTGTTCACGTGGCGTGTTGTTGTGAGATTGTCAGCGTGGGGCTTCGTAACCTTGCGTTTTCTCTTCGTTAACGAGGTTCTCCAGAAACACACGGTCGTCGTTAAATTTTGTTTGTGAAAACAGCATTCGACTGAATAAAAGGAGCGTAAGCTAACGAGTAAGCCGTCTAGGGGTGTTTGTGTTTACTGTGTTTTATCTAAGCTTCCCGCCGCGCAAATGTCCGCTCGCGCAGTAGCAAAAAGCGCGACGGGAAAATTGTCAGACAAAACCCGTATTGATCGTTGCGTTGTTTGGGATTACCGAAACATAAATGAACTTCGTATGCCGTCAGTGGAAAGGTTAATTTTTTTTTTTTAGTCACGTTACCTTGGAATCGTTTATCAAGGCCTCGTTCCACGGTGGAAGACGAGAGGGATGTCTGAACAGCACCGCCCCGTAATAGAACTGTGTCGAAGATTCGCTCACATTTCTGACAGACGCCGTGAGATGGCGCAACGCGTCTGGGGTACAGTGTCCCTGTCGCGAGAAGCGCACGCGAAGCCCGTGGGCAAACTTTCGCCGCCTTGGTGCCTTGGCTGCAGTGTTTCCAAATTAGCAGCTTTCCCGCTAAATTTAGCGGTTTGCTAAGTTCTCTGGTGGGAGAAATTGCCGTATCGCGGGCGGCGTGAGTTTTAATGGGTTTCAAGTCGTGTTGGCGGTATTTCTGGCGGTCTAAAACATTGTTGAATTTTCATTTCTAAGTCATAAATAGCCTAATTGCTGTGGTAAGTTAGAGTCACGGGGTCGTCATCTTCGCCTACTCTCAGAAGAATTGTTGTCAGTGAGGAACGCTAGCAACACCGTTAAGATAATGGCAAAACTTAAGTTCTTTTTGTAGAAGCTTGTTTTTAATGAAATATTGTATGGTGGACTTTAGTCAATAAAAATGACCAGTTCCAGGTGGAAAGACGTCCTAGTAAACTCACAGCGATAGAAATACACAGGCACTATTTTCTCGTGTGGGGGCCATCCTGGGGTAGTTAATTCCGTGGAGATCCGAACGTTTCCATTTCTATCTTTAGGCGCGTTGTTGATGCATTATATTTTGACAAAAACGTCGAATTTTTGGAACTAGGATATGTAATGCACTGTTTGAAATTGCCGTCTTCCAGCACCCTTTCGTGTCTGCTGCAACTCACCGAGGCGCAAAAAGAGGGGCGTGTCACGATCATTGATTATACTTTTAATAGGGAAATCGGCCTCCCACGAGTGTAACTTCGGGTTATTAGGATGCATAGAGTTCGTAGATTGAGTTATCACCATAAATAGACGACCTCAGAATCCACTTGAGTGCCCCTTTAAAACATGCTTTCAGCTCATTTGTGCGTACAGCGGCAAGCCTTAAAATATGCTTTCAACTTATTTGTGCGTGAATGCGTCGATTCGTTTTCCAAGTCTGCCAAATGAAATGGGCTCAGCGAGCTATGCTTAGAATTCAACAAAACACGGGGACTGTCGGACTTAACTTTTCGACACTGATTGTTGGAAGCTCCTAACGACGTTCAAAGGAGTCAGGTACTTCTACTGGAAATTATAGGTTTTTTTCGAATCATTTGTGTTTGGTTACTAGGGCTTTGAATTGCCACCAGAACTTGTGCTAAAGATTGAAACGATGGAGGTGTACGTCTGTAGGTATTGTAAAACAACCCAATCGGTAAAACCTGGTATCGGTAATATCATGCAGGGGACATCGTTTTGTGCACGGGTTCGCCAGGGGTGATTTTCTTTATTGTGCCGTTTTTATGCTAATTAAAGCTGTAAATTTTTTTTTTAAAAGTCGTTTTGGGTCCCTGCGCCTGAAATTTAGCAATTTCTAATTGTCGTTGTTGCTTTTTTTTTTTTTTTTTTTGGGGGGGGGGGGGGGGTGTGGGGTACTTACTTTAGTGCAGCTTTTTTATTTTGGTGTTGGCAACCTTGGCTGGCCTTGTTCACGCACCCCTTTTTTCTTTTACCTCGTCTCGTTCTACTACGTCAAGCAAGAGCGAACACTGCTCAAATATACGGGACTTCTGCCGTTTTTATACTCGAAGGCTGGTTTGCACGTTGACGTTTATTTGAGCTTGACCGAATACCTTCTTCCTGTTTGTCAACGCTTACGACGAGAGAATACACTGGCGCCATCTGTCAGTGAGCCCTGGAACATTTCCGATCTGCGTGCGGATTTTCTGAATTCTTACGCATCGTTCTTGCACCGTGGGCTTGTAATAGTTCCGACGTTGTTATAAATTATAAGGGACCATTTCTCATGGGCAGTGCGTGGATTTGATCTCGCAAAAGTTGGGAAACCTTCCGTTTAATTATACACAGTTCCAGGACTATCTGGTAGACGGTGCCTGTGTTTCTTCTAGCGTTCCTGGATTAAGCGATAGGTGTATGGATGGATGCCAATGGCTGTACACTTTATAACGGGCGATAGCTTGCGCCACCTAGCCCACGTGGCGCAAGCAGTTAAGTTACAAGCGTTTACAAGCTGGTGCAACGTACTCGGTCCCGCTGAAGCGCAAAACTATGGGAACGAGCCTCGAACGTCACCAGTTAATCACCAACCATGTTCGAGAATACTCAATATACTAAAAACCGAGAAAAAAAAAATCGCGTCAGCGCTGTTTGTTTTGTTCGTGTATATCGGTAAGGCACTTATATTAAATTTACTTTTTTTCTTGCGCGGAAACTTGAGTTTCAGGCGCCGCGGTTCAAGTTAATATTCCTCGACCCGAGAGAATTCACTACCATAGGGAAAACAAAATGACGGAGAACGAACAGAGCAATAGTTTTCCCGCGATGATTGATGAGAGGAACTCGGCTTACTTTGTATCGAAAATCGTACCTTGTCTGGTTTCCTTTCGTTGCTGTCACCTTCTGCGTTCCGCGCGGCGGCTATTGTTTCTAAATGGGGGAGTTTGTCTTTTCTGTTTAGCCGGGTGGGTCGACATTTTGAGTGTGTGCGGCCGGTGGCTTTCTGCGCGCCGGATATTAAAGGACCTCTCGTTTCTTCCTCTTTTCAGTGCTCAAATGCCTGAGGCTCGCCAACGATGTGGTGACACTCAAAATCAAGAAAGGTACGTGTGCGCGTGCTGACATTCTCTGTGTGTAGTTTTGTGTGTATTCCCCTTTTAGAGTCTTTCTCGAGGTGGACCTCCCTTTTTGGAGTCTTTCTCGAGGAGCGCTTCAAAATGTATGGCTCTTTAATGTACGTAAGTTTGAAGACGTACATTTTCGCCTGGTTCAGAGCGTGACACAATAAACCAAAACATATCAACTCCCCCCGTCCCCCCCCCTCTTTTTTTTTTTTTTTTTTTACATTAGCGTTGAGCAGGAAAGTTTGCCGAACTCTGAGCCAAAAAGCTGAGGAAGAAAAGCCGTGATCGATTGAGTTCTCAGGATAACTGAGCGCGCTATGACTCTCCTGGCCTAGATGGGTTGAAGTTTACGTCAACAGCACATGCGCTTAGTGTTATCAGCGTCAACTGACCCTGCTGTATCGAGGTAGGTCGGTTGGTTGCTTCCGCTAGTGTCTTATGGCACTGGCGCTCACATTCAGGGACGTGCCAAAAGATTGATTGCCGCGTAGACACCTCTATACCCAAACAGTATCACGAGACTGAGTTTTTGAAGGATGTCGCCGTCGTCATAGACAAAGAGAAACCGAAAGGCCCAAAAGAACTTGCTAAACTAATTGATGTCATTAAAACTTTGGTTGGGGCTAGTTGGTTCATATCGATTAAAAGGTTAAAAGGCGCGAACAAAAGAATGTCCATGTCGTACGTGTGTCTTTTTTCGTCCTGTTCTGTTCGCACTTTTTAACCTTTTAATTAATTGATGTCGTCTCTTTCATTTTTTTTTTTCTGTCTGACTTTACTAAATTTGTTTCAATATCTTTCTTGAAATAAACATTTTCGGGAACATAGTACATATATAAATAGAAAATGAATAGTGCATTTCGGCTTTCAATTTTATTTCAAAGCTTATCTGCAATCTCGATAATGGGCCTTTTAATGTCTCGTTAGCTTTATGACGGCACGTGCAGCACTGTCCTATTCTTCGAATCTCTCTCTGATTTCTTCGCACCTTCGTACCCCTTTTCGTCTTACTTCCGACCGCGTATCGTCTTGATTCCGTCTTTCGTGGGTGTGACGTTCCTGGTGTTTCGCAGACCCGGCGATCCAGGAGCGCGTTCGCCGTCAGATGATGGCGGCCGCCTCCGGTGAGCGCCGCAAGTCCCCTCCGCCGTCGTCCGCGGCGGGCGACGCCGGTCCCGGCGTCGCGACGTCCAAGCAGCGCCAGCAGAACGGAGCGGCCGGCGGTGCTTTGCCTCGAGACGCCGCTGCGGACGCCCCCGTCGACGACGACCCCGAGAGCCCGCTGATCACGTCCTCGTCGTCCCCGTCGCCGCCGTCGTCGGCCAGCGCCCTGCCGCGCAAGTGCGAGCTGTTCACCATGACGGGCGACCTGATCATCACCAAAGCAAGCACGACCAAGAAGCCCGTGCTGCCGTCGGCCGTAGTGCGCACCCAGTCGACGCCGACGAGTCCCGGCGGCGGCCTAGACCCCCAGCGGGGCACCAAGCGGGAGGCGTCCTCTCTGCAGAGCCCCGTGGCCGAGAAGAAGGGCTCGTTCGGTGTCCGGACGTCTCGCAGCGACGACCACCTGGGCAAAGGTCGGAGCGTGGCCGCGGTGAACATCGACATCGACGACGACGAGATGGCCTCGTCGCTGAACACGCTGCTCGACACCAAGCAGGACGACAGCCGCGTGCTGTGGACGTACAACTCGGCGGGCACCGGCAGCTCGTCCGAGGACAACACGGCGGCCACGGGGACCTCGTCGTCGTCTGGTCGCCGCCAGGACGGCGATCTGAGCGAGCCAGAGTGCTGCACGTCCGAGATGGCCTCGGCGTTCGGGTCGGAGGAAGCGGACCGCGTGCACGCGAGCGAGCTGGACCTGACGTCGCCGAGTCAGCTGTCGCCCGAGAACGAGGACGGCTTCTCGCGGGAGGACGACTGGATCGCCGAGCCGGACCTGAGCGAGTCCCAGTTCCGGCACCCCGCGCTCGACGCGGCCTTCAGGCGGGGCTCCAGGAAGATCCAGCACTCCAGGTGGGGCGGCCTCGGCCTGCAGACTCTGGTCCTTCGCTCTTCACTGTCTGTTGGAATTTCGCACGGGCCTATGTGCTTCTGAGTCAGTGACGGAGCGCAGCTATTGTTCTGACGTAATAGCGCACTCTACCAATCGCGTAGCGCCGCGCGGAGGGGGAGAGGAGTTTGCGGTATCAACACCTTCTAGGTAAGAAAGCCTGAAGGGCGAATCACACACTTGCGTCGAGTCCGACCGGGTGCGACTGCAACGGCTTGCGACGTACGGGCTGCTATGGCAACGCTGCGTCGGCTCCATCAAAACCGGTTTTTACCCCGTTTTGTTGAAGCCGACGCAGCTGTTGCCATAGCAACCCGCACGTCGCAAGCCGTGGCAGTCGTACGTCGTACTCACGCAAGTGTGCGAAGACACGGTGCTCGTCCAAGTCGAAAAAAGCGGTGGCGAATATCGAACCCAGGGTCTTCCTCAATGGCGCGAGCGCGTGGCTCCTTCTGCAGTCTCATTCGCACGAGAACGCGTGCAATTGAGACTAGGCTAAGCTAGGTGCTCGTAACAGTAATTTCGAAAGCGTTGTACAATATCGCGCTTGTTTGTTTGGCCACGAACTCGATGGCGCCACCTATAGGGGGTACCCCTGGCGCATTTCCGGTCCACGTATCATTCCCACTTTTTCCTTCATTATTTTTTTTTTTTTTTTACGATTTGTTTTTGTATGATAAGTGTGAATTACGTCTGACAGTGCATTAGGCGACCATTTATCGGTAGCGTATGTTTGACCTCCCGTATACTGCGAAACACGCCGTCCAGTTCAGTACCGGAAATGTTTGTAGGATCGGGTTTGAAGGAAAGAAAAGGATACTGGGCAAGAAGAGGAGCGCCCGTCAGGATTCCATCATGCATTCGCAACTAATATCGTCTGTAAATATGTTAATAAATGAAGGGTTCGTAATATTCCTTCATGTTTTAAGGCTATTTGCACACTTGCACCACCACGTTTCGAGTCACGCGAGAAAGAACGAATGGGGTAAACAAACCTGGGTTGAAAAAGAAACAAACTCTTGCGAGTAGTATGATAAAAATATATATAGTATATATTTCCGTCGGTTGGTTTGGGATCTTCTGTGGCGATCGGAAACGCGTGGAGCCTGGTGCGCGTCTCCGACTGGTCTGTCCAGCCTCCTGTCTCGCCCACACGTAAAAAGTGCTCCCGATGATGCAACAAATGACGTCACAGAAGCCGGAGTGTACATGCTGTCGGACGTCGCGATCCTGGCGGTTGGTCCTAGAAATCCTGGCGAAAATCACGAGCGAACGGGAGTGTCGCGGCGTCCCAACTTCTGGCTGCAGAAACTTCCGTTAACTGTCCAGCTGAAGAGCGACCTTAAAACAAGCATCTGCCACGTACACCGCCGCTGCTGGTACACCACCAGAATCGGCGTCAGCATGACACTTTTATGACGTCACCAAGCGGAAATCGAGAGACCACTTTTTTGGACGCTCTACGCGTCGGGGACGCGCTCCACACCACAATATAGTCCAGCGAAAGAACTGTACATCTTACTTGTGGTCGGTAACAGGCTAAAAGTTGAGAGGAAAACATCCCACCACTTGAGCAGAGCGAACGCTGGAGAGGAGGCGACCTCCTTCTAACGATCGCTTTGATAAAGTGAAGAGGGGCGGGAGGAGTTTTCCCTGAACTCTCAACCTGTCACCAACTATAGTTTTCGAGTTCTTTGTCTTCCTATGCCCTGTTACAGGCTAAGAGAAGCAGAAAAAGCTCCCCGCAATGCCCTCCCGAGGTCCTAACCTCGTCTCTCCTCTCCAGTGTTCGCTCCGCTCAAGTGGAAAGGGTGAAAGTTTTCGAGGGAGGAACTTGTGCTGCTTCTCTTGACCTGCAGCACGGTATAGACCTTTTTTCGTTTATCCTCGTCACGTAGTTAAAACAAAAATAAAGAGGCTTTTCAGAAAAAGAAAAGTGTTAGAGATGGATTTTAAGGTATTTTTCTTTGAATCTGAATATCACTTTCGTTTTCCCCTTAGATGTAACTAAACGCGACAACCTTCGACCAGCCGTTACGTCACACCCAGATCTTTCGGCCGGCAAGCTCGTGTCGCTCGTGTGGGCGACGTGTGCAATTGCAAGCTTCCCGGGTATACATTCCCCCGCACTGACACCGGTCGGGGCGTCCTTTTCTGACCCTTTTGGAAAATAGCGAGAGTGCGGATGCATATATCTTTGATAGGCGCTCAAGATGCGCGAGAGCGGGGATTCTGGGAACACCTGGATATGACGTCACGCTCCGGGTACTTCGAAGATGATTTTCTGCAGCCTCCGTGCACCAAATTGAAAAGTAATCTCCATATTCGTGATCCTTGAGGCGATTCAAGTGTTTTTCCTCAAATTCAGAAACGCTTTAGCTTCCTTTTAACAAATCCGGTATGCAAGATGGGGAGGGGGGGAAGCATTACAATTTGCAACAAGTAACATAGTATAGAAAAGGCAAAAGAAAAATGATAGACACTCGCAACTAAAACATAAGCTTCTCCCAGTGATGTGGAGAGAGCAAAACGATGTTTTCCCGCCTACCGGAAGTTCCGCGATTCAAGATCGCGACCTCTTTTTTCCAAAAAATACGGCCGTCCATTCCAGATATCGCCTTTTGAGTGGTGTTGTACGGATTCTAGCGTCCCGCCTACCTTTCCTGCGTTGTTTTCTGAGATCCATATTTCGGTTCACCATCCCTTTAAGGCACACGAGCAGTGTGCACGCTTTTCGATAATGTTTATAACGTCGTCGCTCGCGCAGCAAAAAGAAAAAAAGCCTAGTGGAAGCTGCGGTGTTTTACGTCGCAGCTGCGAATCTGCGAGCAAAATCGCACCATGTGAATCGAGCTTTAGCCTAACTTGAAAACTATTTGAGTCACTGACAGGATGACAACGGAAGAGAGATCCTTCAGATGTTCTGCCTTCAGCACGAGCATCCCACCTTCGCTTTGGCGTCTCGTAACCCTCGAGCGTGCACGCGCGGTCAAAGCACGGCAAAAGGCAACGAGCGCGTGCCGAAAGCCGGATATCCGAAAGAGTCGCCAATAATCGCATGTACCTCCTAAACTTGCATCACTTTTTTCCGCGCAAACGATTTCTTGCGTTTGTAAAAATCACGCGAACCGACGACGTCCAGCCTAAAGTGCGTAAACTAACGTACCTCTCGTGATTAACTGACAACCATCGAAGTGTACAGCCATCAAAGTGTCGGAAGATCCATTGTCAACGGCGTTCTTCGTTCTTTTAATCGAGGAATCGGTACATTGAAACTGGAACTAAACATAAGCAGTCCTCCGTAGGCGCTAGTGGGGCATGTTTAGGGCACACAGCGTTCGTGCCTGACGTTAATATCGCCACTGCACTTTTTGCGAGCTATCAGTGGGCGCATTTTGCCTGCTGGACGCGTTTTACTCGTCCCATTGCGGTCGTCCATTTCACGCTATAGCGGTCTCAAACGACGTCTCCTGTAGGCCTGGAAAAGCAGGCTTGAGCAGGCACGATCAAATGGGGAGATCAGTAATGTATGTATGTATGTATGTATGTGTATATGTTTGCAGCGCAACCTCATCTCGAAGTGCGCGCCGACTGGTGGCGGCTTCGAAAAAATGTAGATATATATATATATTTTTTTTTATCTAGTTTATTTAGCTACCTAGATATCTAGTCCTTTAACTGGACTGACAAGGACCTACCATGGATCCAAAACATTTCCGGACTCTTCCATCGCCAAAGAAGATATCTATCTAACTAAGGGCAATGCTATTTTTATTACAACATTAGGTATAGCAAGAAAAGAAAACGAAGAGATAGGAAGATACTTAACGAGCGTTTGATCGAAGAAGAAAAGGAAGAGAAAGGCACCACTCCAAGTCGCGTAGTCGTGTGCCTATTTGCTGGGCATGTCAACACTGCGGCATCCGTCATTTCGCACGGCCCTGTCCGGACACCGATAGCAGCAGTGGGCAAAATGTCCCGCAGCGTCCGTTACGCAGCGGACAGAACAGGTCTCAGCCTTGCTCTGGAGATAAGTCCCCGCCCCGGCCGTAATGTCTCGCAGAGATGAAATCGCGGCGGTTTTGGCGCTGTTATTTGAGCGAGGAGCGCGGCGAGTGGCGGACTATTTTCGTGCGGCACTTTTTTTTTGTTCAGGGGTTTAGATCCAACTCGAAATGCGCCCGCACGCGCTCCCTGCTCAGTGTGACGTGACACGGGGCATCGCTTCAGCCGGATGGAGCTACAAGCTGAGGCTTGGGAAGTGCATGCTCGATGTTGGCTACGGGGCTAGGAACACGGTAGTCGTGTGTACGTACCTGCGCGTAGAGCGTGTCCTCGTCGTTTCGGTGCACTAAAAAACGTTGTCTCTGAAACTTCCAATATACCACTCGGTTGTCTCTCTGCGTGTAAAGCGACGACCGGTTGTAAGTGTTGTCAAGACCGTAAGGTTAGGTTTCAAGCCCCGAAACACGTTAAGGCTAGCTCGCAGTGTATGTGAAGATGCCCACGAACATGGCGGAGCCAGGTCCGGAGCATCCCAAAGAGGGGACAATTGGCAAGCGACAAGATGGTGGCGGGCAGGTTGTCTGCTGCGCGGCTCTGCCTTGCTTGAACCTCCAATGGTTATGGTGAGATGTGGTTTTGCTTCACGACAGTGATGCAGCTTCACTAGCGAGCTAATTTTAATTTCTCTACGAGAGACTGCGCGCCACAGTTGGGTAGTTGCACGAACGCGACGTCTGCGCTCTTTCGCATTTTACTCGGACAGGTCGTTGACAAGCATCAAGTTTTGCCGCTCGTGTTGATGCCACGAATTAGCATTTTCTGTCACACTGGTAATTATAAAGCTAGCCTTCCGATTTCAAGAGGAAAAATCGCGATTGCTTGTTCGTGCTGTGCTGCGCTTTGTATATGCACGAGTGGGCAGGAAACGCCACAGGCACACCTTGCATGGATACCATGGTGTGGTTACTGGAAAGCCCTGTAACCCGACGCCGCGCACCTGTAACCTAGTAGTAGTAGTAGTAGTAGTAGTTTTATTTAGACCGCTTTAGCTGTCAAGAAGGAGGAAAATGAGTAGACGGCGCCAAGGCCTGCACTCGCGGTATGGAGGAAATGTTATACGCACTTCTAAGCCGGCTTCGTGAATAAAATTCAGAAGCGTGCGTGGAGTTCTTGCCTCGCTTGTCTGGAGGGCCTGCGGGAGGACCCATTCCCCCATAGAAGTCACCCCGTTCTTGAGGTACTTCATACGTATTGCCTCGAGGTACTTGCAGCTCCATAATAGGTGATCTGGATTGACCAGTTGTTAGGGGTTCTTGCAGTACCTGTAACGGAGAAAACCCGAATTGAAGAGCACCGAACAGGCCGGTCTTTACAAACATAGAGGACGAAGCTAAGAAAACTTTGAATTAGCGGGGAATTCTAAGCAGCCCGAAAAAAGTCAGTAGGTGTCAGAGTCCGTAGTCAATGCATCAAGGGTGGTGGGAAATGTGAAAATAAATGCTTCTTATGCTTTCGGTAACTCGTGTTTTGAGAAGACCCGAACTCAGCTTCTCGGTGTGCAAATAATTCGATAATTGCGCAAGTATCGATAGCAACTTCAAACTCAAACCTTGTTTCTTGAAGGGCTCACAAAGAGGTTCCAATCTACAGTGACGCGTCGTTGTCGTAACCCCTGAGGGTTTTGAGACTTTCTTCGATTTAGTCTAGGCATTCTGGTAAAATAGTCGGGATAAACCTGGAAGAGTCTGGCAATGCGCGAAGCTAAGTATGCATCAGACGTGCGGGCTAGTTGGAGACTTCCGAAACCTCAGCATCGTGACCTGTGCGGACCCATCTCAATACCTCGAAGTCGTTCACGACCATTGAAACTTACCGGTGCTCCCGTGGGTGGGTGCTCTGCCCAGGTCGAACGGGTCCACGGCGTCCAAGACGGACGCCTCGGAGACTCTGGAGCTGGACTCCCCGCCCTCGGTGCACTCCGGGGGCACTCTGGAGGAAGAAGCCGACCTGGAGATGGCGTACGAGGCGGCCACCGCTGCCTCTACCGCGGCTGCCGCAGCGTCCGATTCGGGGGCCGGCGTGGGCGGCTGCTGCTCTCCCACGGGCGACGAGGAGTCCGACGCCGAGTCGCTGCACAGCTTCCACTACAGCCCCAAGGCCGTCGACATGCCGTCCGCGTCGCGCCTCGCCAAGAGGCTCTACAACCTGGAGGGATTCAAGAAGTCCGACGTGTCCAGGCATCTAAGCAAAAAGTGAGTCGCCGAAGGGTTTCCTTACCGTTGCATAGACAATTGCGAGCATGGCTTCGCGACTGGTGTCCTGTGGGACCCGTTCTGAGCGTGCGTGCGGTAGCTCTCTTCTGAAAAATATCAGACGCCGCGGGTTCTTTTTTTTGGTCCGGGTGATGTGTCAAAATGGCGGATAACGTCATGTTTTCACGTAACGTTAATCCTCTATTTTGTTGTTGATGGGAGCGTCAGTTGTCGGCTTCTGCGCACTACGCGTTTGAGGGTGTCATGTTTGTTCCTCGGAATGCTCGCCTCCGGCACGTGACAGACAGATGGGGACGAGATTACCTTCGCGAAAGCTTTACGGCACATATTGCTTATAGAAAACACCCTATACACACCAGTACGTGGCCCTAACGTCACGCCGCTACGGTGGCGGTCTTATCGGCACCGCGCATGCGCAGAAAGCTTCACTGAACGCCATTCTGTCTCCCGCGCAGTGCCAGTACCTGGTGTGGGCAAACGCTGACCTGTTCGTGAACAGCGCGCTGGTCTATAGATGCAGATAGACCCGATATTCTGGTGTCAATGAACTCGTAGCGGGCTTTGGATCTTGAAGTTAGGTTCCTTTTGTCTCAACGATCAACTCCAGGGCAGCGATATGCGTCGATGGCTTGGGTCAGGCCACCTGTGGAGGATTCCATATTTGCTCAGCTATAGGCAGATTGTAATATGCACGGAGCATTGCCGCGTAAAGAAAAATGGGGAATATTAAAAAGAAAATAGATACATGCGCAGCATACATCGTAACTTTCTTTTTTTCTTCGCGATCGTGGTCTTTGTTGAAGTTGTTTTAATATTCTGTTGGCGTTAGAAAGCTTTAATTAAGATCATTGAGTTTTAGAGAAAGGCATTAAACTTGGTCTTGGCAGTGAGCGCAAAACGATTTCTGCCGGTTCGTACACACTATTCTTACATACCCTCTTTCAGAATGTGAAAATGGCGCCAGCGAGCCAACCAGAACGGCGAATCGAGGCACGTGACAGCGTCGGTGTGCACTCCCTCGGTGGAAGGTGTTCATGTGCTTTGCTTCATTGCTCCGATTGGCTCGCGGGGACCTCAGCGTTGGCCCTTTACCAAGCACGCAGTTGCGAGCATGCAGAGGAATCCATCGAGCGGGCGTAGTTTGGCAATGACAACGGTTTTTTTTCTTTTTTTTTTTTTTCTTAAAGAATGAGACTTTGAGGTTTAACGTCGCAAAAGAAGACTAAAAAGCGACGCCTAAACACTCCTTGGGGTCGGTCTACGCCTCGGAGACTGTCTCTTTTCGGTTGCGACGCCAGTATGACTCAGCTAGCTTCGATCGTGCTGCGTTTTGGCCAAGCTTTGCCTCGCGTTTCTTTAGGTGGCGCCAAAAAGTCAGCACTACGTTTTTTTTTTTTTTTTTTTTTTTTTTTTTTTTTTTTTAAATCAGGAGGTTTAATGAGAATTTAGAAAGCTAAAGCGTCTGGATGAGATGCTTGGAGCATCAGCACTTCGTTCCCCGGTGTCCTCGTGTGCGCCGCCATTTCGGTCCAGAGCGGGCGCAATTCGCAATCGTACGTACGAATCAAAAATGCGACACCGCGCAACGGCCATACAGGCGGTTTCGGTGCGGAGAGGATGTTCTTTCTCGGAGAAGCCGACTTGCTGTTTCCGGCACCCTGTATATATATTATCATATATACCCTCGCGGGAGGTTGTTCGTCTCGCGCGTTATACGCCGTGCATCATATACGTGTTCGCGCTCGGGTTTTCTCGCTTCAGGGCGCTTACACGAGGAGAGAGAGCCCGTCGTCTGCTCGCGATTTACGCCTTGCGACGACGCTATACGGGCGCCTAACTGCCGCCCCTGTATACGGAGTAGCAGCAGCAGTAGACGGCAGTTGGCGATGCTGCTCGTCCGCGCCGATAAGCAAGCTAGAGCCGGCACCGCGTGTCCCTGGCCCGAAACGAGCGAGAGAGACCCGCCTGTTGCTATTTTATTGGGCGGCAGGCAATCCTCGGGAGCCATTCTTGGCAAGCAGCGCCAAAAGTGCCTCGTCCTTGTAGTTTTGCCATCAACGGCAAAACGAACCACGCGCAAAAAAAAAAAAAAAAAAAAAAAGAAGGCGCGGGTTTATAATACGGCGACTTCACTGCCCGTGATTGATTTAATCGGTGATAGCAGACGTACGAAGAAAACGAGCGCCGTGACGATGCGCTTTGGGCGCTGTTTGATTGGCTCTGTCGAGTAGTAGCGTCGGCTGCGGTCAGGCTTGAAGCGGAACAGAGTATAGCAAACCCTAGACGCACGCAGCTGTTGTGTGTAGCTCAGTGAGATTCCTTCGCGTTGTGGTGGTCTGCGCCATGTTGCCGCAGTCAAAACGAGCCATATAACTGCGCTCGAACCAACGTTACTAGAACCACTCAGTTGGGAAACTGCCATAATGACTGCCCCGAAGAAGTGGCCCCGATCTGTCCTGGAGCACCGAGCTAATGGCGAACACAGCGCCGCCATTTCTCCCGCAGCGGCCACTCGAGGAATTTCACGTGACGTCTATTTTGGCTTTAATCGGCCATTTTTTGCGCCGAAACAGATACAGCGGAAAAGGTTGCAGGCGTGCCACCCCCGTCTCCCCGGCGGACGCGCCGCGTGTTGCTACCGAAGTTAAAACGCACCTAGGTCGGGACGCGCTACCTGAAGGTGCCGCTGAGGCATGGTTGTATAAAAACAATATTAATTGTGCCGCAAAACCTTTCAAACTAAAGATTTTAAAAACATCACGCGCCCTTCATTTTGTACTAAACTCCAATAAATTTCATACAAAAGGAGTCTTTTTCGTTTGTTTTTACGCAAAAATATGCTTTCTAAAAGCTCAAGGTGACCACAGTAGAGACAAATGATAAAGAGTGGCGCTGTTGTCGTATTTAGCTCGGTCTCGGTGGACGCCAGCGGCCCAGGTTTCGACGGCGAGTTTCCCAACTGAGTGTTTAGTAACGTTGGCTTGAGCCAACGTTATTAGAACAACTCAGTTGAGAAACTGCCATAGAGCCTGCTTTGTTGAAAAAGTGGCTTCGATGCGTACTCGAGAACCGAACTGATGGCGATCGCAACGCCGCCATTTCACCCGCAGCGGCCACTCCGGGAACTGCACGTCTGCACGTATTGGTTCAGGTCGAGTCGCTCAAGGGGCCGGTGGCGCCATTTGGCAGTGCCATTTTGCAGTAGCAATATTAATGAACTTTCATGCTTTGACTAGTCGCTAAAGGGTGGCGCTGTAATCGTATTTAGTTTGGTCTCGGTGGACGCGAGCGGTCCGGGTTTCAAAGGTGAGGTTCCCAACTGAATATTTTAGTAACGTTGGCTCGAGCTCGGACTACCTTGGTAGTCGTCCCGGTTCAATTCCGGTTTCGGTAGCTGTTCGCGGCCGCGGTGCTGAATTTCTGTCGGCTCTTTCCATTGTAACTTGCATGTTAACAATCGTTTGTTCTTGTTTTGACAGCATACAGGAGTAGGTCATTGAGGGCCCAAGCAGGGTGGGTCGATAATAATAATAAAAGTTATTGACGTCCTACTGGCAGAAAAGCAGAGGTGCTGCTGTCAAAAAGCTCATAGACGCCTTCAAAGTTGCTATGCAACAACCATTTTTTTTTAGTACGTTTAGTTGTTTTCAGAAGCATGGCAGATGGCTGCTCCACAATCTTTGAGAAGAAAGTGTATTTGAACCAAATGTTACTTTCAAAACTTTAATTAAGTATAGCTACTAAGCTGTTTTTGTGACCTCAAAACTATTTAGGTTATAAAATTGTTGCTTATAAATACTATAGTCACTTTAGAGCTCCGCGTTAAGTATTGCTGAAATGACACGATTACAGATATAGTCATTCATGGTCGGTAATTTCATTTTTTGTCGCGCGTTTGGTCCGTATCGGCGAGTGTACGTGCACTTCTGATCCCCCCAGCGCGTTCCCAAAACAGCGTAGCCTGCGGCGTCTAGGAAACGCCCGACAAACAGTGACCGTGGCCTCCTCAAGGCCTACACAGCCCCGTAACCTCCGTTTATACTTCTCAAGTTTCTTTTTTGTCAGGCTTGTGTTGGCCGTCGTGGAGGGAGAGTGGGACGTAGTGGGACGACTGTGTGGTCGTTGCCGGTATCGATCGAGAGAGCTTCTGACTGGTGTCCTCGGCCGGCCCGCCGTCGCCGCCGTTTCCAACCCTCGCGGGAATATCTGGCATCGCTGATACCGACGTCGTGTTCCGCCCGGTCTACTGCCGTCGGACCAGACGACGGTCGGTTTTGCGTCGCGGGACAGACCGTACTCTCACTCCGTCCGCCTGTGTCCTCGGGGAGAATGATGTTTCGTTCCTCGAAGCCGGCGATTAGGCCTATACTCCTTTCAGCCCTAAGCTGACAGTGCGGTGGAAGCTATAGGTGCTCCTCGGATCGGTCTTTCGCTACGTGATCACGCTCCTGCCCGGGGTCAGGTGATGAAAAAGTGGCAGATTTGTTGGTCCGGCGAGCAAGTAGCTTCCACGGGTGAAGGGAGCGTAATTGGTCCGACTTCGACAAGGACCAGGAAGTATAAGCCATGCAACCTACGTGTCCGATTAATGACACCTTAACCAGGTTGGGGCTTATCATTAGTGTTGTCAATGGTCTGAAGCTTTAACTAAGACCGCAAAAAACGCTTTTTTTGTTTAGAGCGCAGCTCTTAGGGGCCCGTTTTCGGCTTGAGCGGCGTCGCCGTCGGCGTAACCGCGAGGTCACGTGACCCCCCCCCCCCCCGAGGTCACGTGACCCCCTTAGGTCACGTGACCCCCTTGAGGTCACGTGACCCCCTTAAGGTCACGTGACCCCCTTGAGGTCACATGACCTCAAGGAGTCACCTATCCCTTAGTACTCTTCCATCTTCCTCCTCAAGAGCTGCGCTCTAACCGACGTTACAGGAAATTGTAAACGGCTTTCGTTTTTTTTTTTTTTTTATGAAAAAAGGGAGTCCGG